TTCCCATATAGATTAAACCCGAGCACTTTACAGGAAAGCCTTTCTGAACGTTTTGGTAATGTCATAATGTGGTCTCAATTTTTGAGATAAAAAGTGGTTTGGATATTCAAAGACAGTTCCACTGATCTGACGACTACTTTATAGAGGTCCCAGCCTACAAGAAAGCATTTACGAAGGTCTTGTGGTTAAACTTCTCGAAGGAGCAAAATTCCCACCTTTACAAAATTGTAAAGCACTGAATATGCGATATCCAAAGCAGATCAACCTTAAGTCCAGTATATTAGGTCTCAGGTTCTGCCCTTCGATTTACAGAAGGGTTCTCCAGTTTTTCCTCAGTCACATTTCCCACAGTAGCCGAAACTGTATGGAGGACTCATTGGTTTTCGGTATGCAGTGGAGCGGGCGGCACACGGAATCCAGGTCCACGTTGGGTCCACCCTGAAGTCAAATTTTCGTACATGACCGAACATTTCCGTGAAGCAGCCGTGCTGTTACAGTGAATATGCAGTCATGATGGAGAATTACCACGATCGAATGAATTGCGAAGTTCTTCGCGATTCTGAATCCCACTCCATTGTCAGCCTCGGGTCGGAGATCGCTGCTGGAATGTAACTGTCGTTTGGTAGGTCCAACAATTTGCTCAGCTCTTCAGAATCTTAAGTTCAAGAACTATTCAAGCGGGATAATGGTTGAAGGAGCCCCTCATACAAGGACGGAACATGGGTTAAACAACTATGTAGGCTTTCCATCTCGTTCTTTACAGTTGCCCCCTCCTAGAAAAGGAAGATTACTCCTCTTCCTTTCTCAAGATCATCCACTATCTAATCACGGCTCTTCTAAGCTACACCATATCGGGGTCTTAGACACACAATCGATGGATGGCTCATTATCGATTATCACGATGGGCAGTGGCCTGATGGCCGCAAAAGGGATAAGGGCCTGCACCGGTTGCACCGATTGCTCGGGCATCGGAGCGTTCTGGTATCGATCGGCCCCTAGCAGCATACAGGAATACCTCCATGGATTTTCTTAGGGAATTCAGCTCTTTGTAGGAGTTCAATCTCCACCAACTTGCCTTTGGTGAATTTCGGTTCTCCCTTGGAGTACAAGACTTATTATGAGGAAAACAGAAGCATGTTTTTTGAGTGAAAACTTAACAAAGCATCTAATCAAAAGTGAGCTCTCAAGTTTCCAACATAAAAAGCGTTTGGAGGTGTAGGACAGTTGCACTGAACTGAGGACTACTACGTAGAGGTCCTCAACACATTCATATACCAAAAGTGATAGTAATCTCAAAAAATTTCCATTACAAGTTTACATTTGATCGCGCCGATCAGCTCCCTTTGATCTCACGGAATCGAAGGTGCTGCCATCGGTAGTTGCATTCCGTTATTCACAAATGGAAATGAGGGATCGGCAAAAAAATGGTGGCTGACAATTTTTCTCTGATCTCTCAACATTTTAGTATCCATAGGAATCGGGCAGCCACAGGAAGGCCTTTGAGGATGGGGTCGAGAGAATTGAGCTCATTGAAGGGACACAATCAGCATCAGCTTGGCTAGCCACTTTAAGCTTCTCTCCTGGGGAATATGCCTTCTTTGTCTCGATTTTCAATTCCATATCATAACTATTGGAATGTATGGCCCTACATACGTGCACATTCTAACATAAGGTAGAGAGCATGCTAAGCGTGTGGGCAAAGCCATGAGATATTGGGTCCTGCCGATTGGTGGGCCCTTCACTTTAGCAGACCAACACCAATATAGAGTATCTGTGATTTCAGAAGCTCCGCCAAATTGTTTAACGTACCAACTGCCCTTAACGGCCACTTAATGGAGACGTTCTTATCCGGGTGCATAGCTGTATTCCATCCCAACTCCCAGGTTGCCTCCCGCACCATGCCTTACGGTTGGTTCTTGTTTCACAGCCGATGACGTTATCGGACGATTTCGGAACTCTGGATCAGCCCATTTTCACTGGTTTTTCGTTTTCGATAACAGTTACAGCAATATTCCTTAATCATGAGAATCATCACCCTTAGAAAATATTTGACCATGACTAAGACCTCAAGCTCATACGCATAGTTTCTTAACTTAGTGGTAGAGGATTTTCAGAATACAGCCAACGTTCGGTAATCGAGCTGCTTTCCTCTGCAACAACAGAGATTAGATTAAGTAACTAATGAAAGGTTGATCCATTCCCTTACAAATGAAATACCGAAAGACGATATGCCTCCGGCTGAAGACCAATATCCGAACGTGTCCGGGAAGGGACATTCCCGTTGACTGCGAACTGTGATAGGAACTCCAGCAGCTGTGGTAATGGGAAGATAGTCAGTGGGGTTCATGAATACCACGAGAGGCAATACTTCGAGCGAGATCGAGATTTACCGATGAAGTTCATGCTTAGAATTTCTACTCTGTTATCAGTAGGAATAAATAAAATCAGAGCCGGGTCTAGAGTAGGCCACCCAGAAACTGTGACAACTGCATTGGACTAGCGGGATTCTAATTCCTATGGAGCGTGGCAGGTCAGAAGCCGGATTATGGTCAAAGCAGCCCCTACTAAACGGATGGTCCACGGATTGAATAACTACGTAGGCTGAATAGCCCTTCCTCATGTATCAAAGCTTCCTCCTGCAGAAGGAAAATTATTTTACCTTAAGTACTTGGGCTAACTAGTCAATGTTTCCAGTACAATCGACTGGCGCCGTTCATATTGATCCCTCGGACGCGCCATCACTCGGTAACCACAAACGGTTGAGAAAAGGTTGCAGCGGCTGCACAGATTGATCTGGCATCAGAGTAGTTTGGCAAAAATAGAACTCGAGCAGCTGGGCGGAAAGCGTTCATGACGGAATTGAGCTCATCGCAGAAGCACGAGCAACACCCCTCTGTTATTGTGAATTTCAGCCTTCTTTTGAAATAGTGGACCTACTATGAAGAAAACAGGAGCCGTTGCTACTGATTGAACTCTACTGTAAGCAGGAGGTATGGATTGCCTCAAATTCACAATATTTCATCGAAATTTTCAGGAAAAAAGGGATTGGAAGGGTCAAAGACGGCCGATCGGTGTGTAGATTACTTTATGGAGGCCCTCACCGTCATCTATCAAAAAGGATGGAATTCTCGAAATTCCTCATTCCAAGTCTCTATGGGCGAGCGAATCCTTGCCTAAGCTTACAGTCCATTGGATGCTCTCATATCGATCGCTGCGATGCGCAATTACTCGATCCCGCACAAGGATGACTGACTGATTGCAGCGATTGCACCAATTGCTAAAATATCGGAGTAACTTGTTAACAGTAGGACTAGAGCAGCTTACTGAAAAGCTTTCAAACAGTTTCAATGAGCTTTTTGGATGGGGCACAATCAACATCAGCCTGGCTTGGTGAGTTGCAGCTTCTCTCCATAAATATTAATGCGACTAAAAAGAAACTTGAGACTGTGGCCACTGATTGGACCCTCATTCCAGTGAATAGACCTTCTTTGTTTCAATTTTACTCTACATTTCATTTCAAGTGTGGTCCAATCTTTAAAGGAGAAAAAAGCGATTTGAACGATGTGAAGAACTGAGGGAAATTCCTTTGATCAGTTGACTACTTTGTGAAAGTCCCCATCACATTCATACATCAAAGAAGATAGAAATCTCGCAAACTTCTCATTACAAGTTTACATTTGATGGTGCCGATCAGCTCCTTTTGATCTCATGGGATCGAAGGCGCTACCATCGTCAGCTCTATCCCGTTAAACACAAATGGAAACGAGGATTCGCAAAAAAAGGGGACTGGAAAGATTCCAGGGAGATCTCATATTTTTGGTATCGACTGGATCCGAGCAGCCTACAGGGGGCCTTTACGAAGGTTACAGAGACCAGAGGTTTTCGAAGGGGCACTCAAATATCAGCCTGATACACTTTGGTACACTTCAGCTTTTTGCTTGGAACGGGAGGAACTATCATAAGGAAAACGAGAGCCCTAGCCTTCGAGTGACCCCACTGTTGAGGAATACTCACAATCACATTTCCCACATTTGCTGGAACTACGGAGGGCACACTGGTTTTCGATATGTAATGGACCGGAATGGTGCGCCGACAAACCAGATCCGGGTTTGGGGCCAACTGAAGCCAAGTTTTCGTAGGTAACCGAACATCACTGAGAAGCAGTAGTGCTCTTTCTGTGAACATGCTCCCATGACGGGGACTTACTATGATCGAATGAATTGCGAAGTGTTCGCGAGTTTGAATACTACTCCATAGTCAACCTCGGCTCGGATACCGCTTCTGGAATCGAACTGTGGTTTGGTAAGTCAAGCAGTTTGCTCGGCTGTTCAGAATCCCCATTTTTAAAAAGCAGTTCAAGGCGGGAGAGTGGTTAAAGGACCCCCTTAACAAGGATGGTCCAAAGGTTGTACAGCTACGTAGGCTTTCCATATCATTCTTCGCAGTGTTGCGTGAAAGAAAAACTACATCTCTCTCACTTTCTCAATATCATCCACTTTCTAATCACGACTCTTCTAAAGTCACACCATTTTGGGGTCCTATACAGACAATAGATGAATGCGCTCATATCGATCATCACGATGGGCAATGCCCTGATAGCCGCACAAGGGTGAGAGCCTGCACCGGTTGCACCGGTGGCTCGGCTATCGGAGTATCGATTGGATATATATATTGGATATTGGATATATATATTGGATATAGTATCGATTGGAGTATTGGAGTATCGGAGTATTGGGTATCGATTGGACTCGAGCAGCTTACAGGAAAGCTTCCTGGATTTTTTAAAGGGATTCGTAGGGGTACAATCTACACCAACCTGCCTTTGGTGAATTCCAGGTTCTCCCTCGGAATACAGGACCTGTTGTGAGGGGAACAGAAGTCATGTCTTTTGAGTGAGCACGTAACAAAGCATTCAATCAAAAGCGAGCTCTCAAGTTTTCAACATAAAAAGGGTTTGGAGGATGAAGGACAGTCGCACTGAACTGGAGACCACCACGTAGTGGTCCCCAACAGGTTCATTTACCAAAAGTGATAGTATTCTCAAAACATCTCATTACAAGTTTACGTTTGATCGCGCCGATCAGCTCCTTTTGATCTCGGACTCCGCCTTGGCTGATCCCAAGCCCAGCTGTGAAAGGAGGATGGGTTGGATGTCAGGCTTGCACCCCTGCATCTGTAAATCGAACTCTTGCTACGAAAAGTCAAAACAGAGGAAACCGTCCCCTACTCCACTCCTCTGGTCCCCAGGACCAGGTTGGGTTCCCGCGCTCTCTTCAGGGCGCTTTTTTAAATTTTTCTTTTTCTATTTTTTACAATTCCAGGTCAGGTTCTCAAGCGCTGGAAGGACCCGGAGTCAACAGCCAAGAGCCGATCCCTGGTCAGAGCAAGATTTTATTCCTAGGAGCGGTTCTATAAGGCTGAACGAGCCCAGCGCTCAAAGCCAAGAACTCTATCGTAGTAAGACCGCAGCCTGGTCAACGCAAGAATTAGAGAAATTGGCGAACCTGGCCGAAATGCACAGGACAGCCAAGAGTCGCGAGCAGTGGACAGTTTTGGAGCGAGAGTTCTCTTCCAGTCCCACGCACGACGACCCAATGAGAAAGGCGGAATCCCTTCGAGCAGCCTATCGGAGATTCATTAAAACCTCCGTAAGAACATCTGGGGAATGTACTCAACGTGCAGAAGTGCACAGCATGGAACGCGTTGAGGAAAATCTCAACGATCTTAGCTCGGAGGGCCGCCGACCAAGCAGAGTGTCTTCAGGGCAAATGAATATTAACCATGCCTACGACTCAGCAATGAGCGATGGCGTTACTACGGCCCAACAGACACTCATCATTTCCACCAGTGGCAATAATGAAACAACGAGTGCAAGCAGCGCTCACGAAACAGAGCTTCCACAGAGAAAGCGCGCTACTTGGAGTTAAAGCGAGCTTGGTAAACTGGCGAACCTCGTCGACAGCCGACGGGGGTGTGCAGTGGGCTGAACTAGGCTCTGCCTGGGAAAGCTCACGACGCACACAAGACCTCAAAAGAACGGTGTCAGCTCTGAAAGCTGCCTATGCGAAACTGTCTAAGAAAATTAGACGGACTCGCCAGAGTGCAGACTCTGATGGATTGGCTGATCTTAGAACTTCGAGCATCCCAAGCTGTCCACAAGTGGGCAGTTCAATGGGAGCTCACGCTAGTCAGCAAGAAGAGGACCTCGGAAAAGAGGT